AGGTGGGAGCGGGCACCCACAGGTGGGAGCGGGCACCCACAGGTGGGAGCGGGCACCCACAGGTGGGAGCGGGCACCCACAGGTGGGAGCGGGCACCCACAGGTGGGAGCGGGCACCCACAGGTGGGAGCGGGCACCCACAGGTGGGAGCGGGCACCCACAGGGGGGCGCGGGCACCCACAGGTGGGGAGCGGGCACCCACAGGTGGGGAGCGGGCACCCACAGGTGGGGAGCGGGCACCCACAGGTGGGGAGCGGGCACCCACAGGTGGGGAGCGGGCACCCACAGGTGGGGAGCGGGCACCCACAGGTGGGAGCGGGCACCCACAGGTGGGAGCGGGCACCCACAGGTGGGAGCGGGCACCCACACAGGTGGGAGCGGGCACCCACAGGTGGGAGCGGGCACCCACAGGTGGGAGCGGGCACCCACAGGTGGGAGCGGGCACCCACAGGTGGGAGCGGGCACCCACAGGTGGGAGCGGGCACCCACAGGTGGGAGCGGGCACCCACAGGTGGGAGCGGGCACCCACAGGTGGGAGCGGGCACCCACAGGTGGGAGCGGGCACCCACAGGTGGGAGCGGGCACCCACAGGTGGGAGCGGGCACCCACAGGTGGGAGCGGGCACCCACAGGTGGGAGCGGGCACCCACAGGTGGGAGCGGGCACCCACAGGTGGGAGCGGGCACCCACAGGTGGGAGCGGGCACCCACAGGTGGGAGCGGGCACCCACAGGTGGGAGCGGGCACCCACAGGTGGGAGCGGGCACCCACAGGTGGGAGCGGGCACCCACAGGTGGGAGCGGGCACCCACAGGTGGGAGCGGGCACCCACAGGTGGGAGCGGGCACCCACAGGTGGGAGCGGGCACCCACAGGTGGGAGCGGGCACCCACAGGTGGGAGCGGGCACCCACAGGTGGGAGCGGGCACCCACAGGTGGGAGCGGGCACCCACAGGTGGGAGCGGCACCCACAGGTGGGAGCGGGCACCCACAGGTGGGAGCGGGCACCCACAGGTGGGAGCGGGCCCCCACAGGTGGGAGCGGGCACCCACAGGTGGGAGCGGGCACCCACAGGTGGGAGCGGGCACCCACAGGTGGGAGCGGGCACCCACAGGTGGGAGCGGGCACCCACAGGTGGGAGCGGGCACCCACAGGTGGGAGCGGGCACCCACAGGTGGGAGCGGGCACCCACAGGTGGGAGCGGGCACCCACAGGTGGGAGCGGGCACCCACAGGTGGGAGCGGGCACCCACAGGTGGGAGCGGGCACCCACAGGTGGGAGCGGGCACCCACAGGTGGGAGCGGGCACCCACAGGTGGGAGCGGGCACCCACAGGTGGGAGCGGGCACCCACAGGTGGGAGCGGGCACCCACAGGTGGGAGCGGGCACCCACAGGTGGGAGCGGGCACCCACAGGTGGGAGCGGGCACCCACAGGTGGGAGCGGGCACCCACAAGTGGGAGCGGGCACCCACAGGTGGGAGCGGGCACCCACAGGTGGGAGCGGGCACCCACAGGTGGGAGCGGGCACCCACAGGTGGGAGCGGGCACCCACAGGTGGGAGCGGGCACCCACAGGTGGGAGCGGGCACCCACAGGTGGGAGCGGGCACCCACAGGTGTGAGCGGGCACCCACAGGTGTGAGCGGGCACCCACAGGTGTGAGCGGGCACCCACAGGTGTGAGCGGGCACCCACAGGTGTGAGCGGGCACCCACAGGTGTGAGCGGGCACCCACAGGTGTGAGCGGGCACCCACAGGTGTGAGCGGGCACCCACAGGTGTGAGCGGGCACCCACAGGTGTGAGCGAGCACCCACAGGTGTGAGCGAGCACCCACAGGTGTGAGCGAGCACCCACAGGTGTGAGCGAGCACCCACAGGTGTGAGCGAGCACCCACAGGTGTGAGCGAGCACCCACAGGTGTGAGCGAGCACCCACAGGTGTGAGCGAGCACCCACAGGTCTGAGCGAGCACCCACAGGTGTGAGCGAGCACCCACAGGTGTGAGCGAGCACCCACAGGTGTGAGCGAGCACCCACAGGTGTGAGCGAGCACCCACAGGTGTGAGCGAGCACCCACTGGTGTGAGCGAGCACCCACAGGTGTGAGCGAGCACCCACTGGTGTGAGCGAGCACCCACAGGTGTGAGCGAGCACCCACTGGTGTGAGCGAGCACCCACTGGTCTGAGCGAGCAACCACTGATGTGACCGAGCACCCGCAGGTCTGCCCGAGCACCCACTGGTCTGAGCGAGCACCCACAGGTCTGCCCGAGCACCCACTGGTCTGAGCGAGCACCCACAGGTGTGAGCGAGCACCCACAGGTGTGAGCGAGCACCCACAGGTGTGAGCGAGCACCCACAGGTGTGAGCGAGCACCCACAGGTGTGAGCGAGCACCCACTGGTGTGAGCGAGCACCCACAGGTGTGAGCGAGCACCCACAGGTGTGAGCGAGCACCCACAGGTGTGAGCGAGCACCCACAGGTCTGAGCGAGCACCCACAGGTCTGAGCGAGCACCCACAGGTCTGAGCGAGCACCCACAGGTCTGAGCGAGCACCCACAGGTGTGAGCGAGCACCCACAGGTCTGAGCGAGCACCCACAGGTCTGAGCGAGCACCCACAGGTCTGAGCGAGCACCCACAGGTGTGAGCGAGCACCCACAGGTGTGAGCGAGCACCCACTGGTGTGAGCGAGCACCCACAGGTGTGAGCGAGCACCCACAGGTGTGAGCGAGCACCCACAGGTCTGAGCGAGCACCCACAGGTCTGAGCGAGCACCCACAGGTCTGAGCGAGCACCCACAGGTCTGAGCGAGCACCCACAGGTCTGCCCAAGCACCCACTGGTCTGAACAAGCACCCACAGGTCTGAGCGAGCACCCACAGGTGTGAGCGAGCACCCACAGTTGTGAGCGAGCACCCACTGGTGTGAGCGAGCACCCACTGGTGTGAGCGAGCACCCACAGGTCTGAGCGAGCACCCACAGGTGTGAGCGAGCACCCACAGGTGTGAGCGAGCACCCACAGTTGTGAACGAGCACCCACTGATCTGAGAGAGCACCCACTGGTCTGAGCGAGCAACCACTGGTCTGAGCGAGCACCTCAGCGAGCATTGATACATTCACTAACGTGAATGTATCAATGGGAAAATCCGCACTTCTCCCATTGTTTTCACTGAATTTTCCTGTTCTCGCTGAACATCCGTACAGGGATTTATTCATTGCTACATCACCTTAGTGTTACTGCTCTCTGTGCATTGACTACCTGATCAACCAGGCTGTGACTCATACGTCAGACTGCGAGCAGCCGCGTCCAACAGCCTGGTTGATCAGTCCGGCAACCAGGAGGCCAGGTCGACGACCGGGCCGCGGGGACGATAAGCCCCGGAAGCACCTCAAGGTAACCTCAAGGTGTTGAAGAGGAGCGTCAGAGGGAGAACATTCCTAGACCACAGACCATCTTTATCTCTTCGCTTATTTCTCTCTTTTTCTTTGTCTTTCATCTACGTTTGCTTCTCTGCCTCTACCGTTTCATAGTGTTCCTCTTCTACTATCTCCCTTTCATCCTCTTTTCTTTTATTGTTCTCATTATCTTAATTCTCCTTTCATTTCTCATCCCCTTCCTCCTTCTCTTCCTCTCTTTACTCCTTTCCTTCTTTATCATCCTCTCCTTCCTCTTCGCATAATCTTCTCATAATCTCATAAAAAACTTACAAAAGTTTGCTGGCGAACAACACAATTGGTCCTTAGTAGTGGGAAGGGCAGCCAGTGAGAGAGATGTCTCACTAGGGCAGAGATACCTCACCACAAGTTAGGTCTTCCCTCACAAGAAGAGATATCTGGACAAGGAGTGGAGATATATCGTCAAAGAAGAGATTCCTTCTCAGACGACGAGAAATATAGCATTAATGAGAGAGATACTTCGAATTGGAAGAGATCATTCTCCTAGACCCTTATAACGACGTCTCGGTCTGTTCTGGACCCTTATAACGACGTCTCGGTCTGTCCTGGACCCTTATAACGACGTCTCGGTCTGTCCTGGATCCTTATAACGACGTCTCGGTCTATCCTGGACCCTTATAACGACGTCTCGGTATGTTCTAGACCCTTATAACGACGTCTCGGTCTGTTCTGGACCCTTATAACGACGTATCGGTCTGTTCTGGACCGTTATAACGACGTCTCGGTCTGTCCTGGACCCTTATAACGACGTCTCGGTCTGTCCTGGACCCTTATAACGACGTCTCGGTCTGTCCTGGACCCTTATAACGACGTCTCGGTCTATCCTGGACCCTTATAACGACGTCTCGGTCTGTTCTGGACCCTTATAACGACGTCTCGGTCTGTTCTGGACCGTTATAACGACGTCTCGGTCTGTCCTGGACCCTTATAACGACGTCTCGGTCTGTCCTGGATCCTTATAACGACGTCTCGGTCTATCCTGGACCCTTATAACGACGTCTCGGTATGTTCTAGACCCTTATAACGACGTCTCGGTCTGTTCTGGACCCTTATAACGACGTATCGGTCTGTTCTGGACCGTTATAACGACGTCTCGGTCTGTCCTGGACCCTTATAACGACGTCTCGGTCTATCCTGGACCCTTATAACGACGTCTCGGTATGTTCTAGACCCTTATAACGACGTCTCGGTCTGTGCTGGACCCTTATAACGACGTCTCGGTCTGTCCAGGACCCTTATCCTCACTTGACAATGGTCCTGGGCGGACCGAAACGTCATCACTTCATTTCATACGTGTGGGTTAAGGTACTAATTTTCCCCCATGGTTCTGTAACAGTCTGTGTATATATAAATAATTTTGATACTAACATTGACTTAGGGGTATTGGTGGAAGGTAAGTGCACTCAGAACTATGCGCAATTTACAAGTGTACACTAATTACCTTAGAGATTGTTGTGCTCCAGCTCTTGGACCCATTATGGTATACCTTAGAGATTGTTGTGCTCCAGCTCTTGGACCCATTATGGTATGTGTATTAATTCGTTTTGTACATTACAGCAAAATACGACAGGTGGGCGAGGGTCGTCGTCGGCGGTGGCTGAGAGGGGCGTGTCTGTGGGACCCTGGAGAGTGCCAGAGGAGCAGATGCCAGTACTGGTTGGCACTATTACCGGTGCCTCGCTACTGGTCCTCCTCCTCCTCTCTCTCCTCCTCTACACATGTCGTCATCACAACCCCACCCACAAGAAGTACAGTGAGTATTCCTCTGTGTCACATGTTGTACTACTCTGCGTCACAGTTGTACTCCTCTGCATCACAGTTGTACTCCTCTGCATCACAGTTGTACTCCTCTGCGTCACAAATTGTGTCACGGGGAGTTAGTTGAAGTGTACATACCTACATACTTGCCTTGTGTATGTCATATGATTCATATCCACTTTGTTCCCAATTATATGTTCATCATAAGTCAGATGGTGTTACAATGATGTACTTCACAAAATAGGTACACAAAAATTACATACGTTGCCGTAAGGAAATAGATTGTCATTTAAGACTGAAATATATTCAAATATACATTTACTCCTGTCTAAATATTATTAATACCGTGGCTGCTGGAGTATATCGTGCTGGAGGCATTATACTCATACCGTGGCTGCTGGAGTATATCGTGCTGGAGGCATTATACTCATACCGTGGCTGCTGGAGTATATCGTGCTGGAGGCATTATACTCATACCGTGGCTGCTGGAGTATATCGTGGTGGAGGCATTATACTCATACCGTGGCTGCTGGAGTATATCGTGCTGGAGGCATTATACTCATACCGTGGCTGCTGGAGTATATCGTGCTGGAGGCATTATACTCAGCTTTAAAACAACATAATGATTGGTTCTGTCATTAGCACACTAATTACTTCCCTCTGTCATGGTGGGGAATAATTATTGCCCTTATAATTAAGCTGTTATATGGACGTCAGTGATGTATATTATAAGAGGGGGACACTATGATGGTGGTAGTGTTGTGTCCGCTCTATGGTGGAGTCTGGATGACACTGTATAGTCGAGTCACTCTATAGTTGTCACCATAGTTACTATTTTGAGTCATTGCATAGTATGTATGTATAGTTGAATCACTGTATAGTAATCGCCCCATAGCTGAGTCGCTACAGTGGAACGCTATATAGCAATCCTTGAGTGACTCAAATCGTCACCCGAACAGTCAGCCTTTAAGTTGATAGCGGTGATTAATGTGGTAAGGATATGTGTCTCAAGTACTTACATTGAGGGAGTGAGTAGCACGAGATACAGTGTGAGTTTGAAGCACAAGGTAGGAAACTATGAGGATGAAATAAGGTACTTTTGGGTTTTACTTTTGAACAAGGCTTAGATTGGACAATGTTTTAATTCATCAGGGAGTTCCAAAGACTGGGTCCTATTTGCGTGGAGTGGGAGGGAATTTTCAGGGGAAAACGCCAAACCATTACGACTATATAGCACTGGGAAGGGGTCAGGATAAGGATTTAGGATGGGATGGGGGGAAAGGAATGGTGTCGAACCACTTGGACGGTCGGGGATTGAACGCCGACCTGCATGAAGCGAGACCGTCGGGGATATCAAAGATATATTTATTACTGGTGTGGTGCTTATGGGTTAGATTACACCAATCAAGGAAAAGTTTCAGAACAAGATTAGCATTTAGGAACAAGGTTTTGTACATGTAGATAGCACATGAGAATGTGTGGAGTGAGTATATGTTTTAGCATGTTAAGGGTCTTCAATAGAACAAGAAAAGAGCAATGTAACCCTTATTGTCTACTGTCAGTAAGAAGAGGGAAGAAGGCAAGAAAGTGCTGAAACACTCGTGGATATTAATCAAAGCTACGCTTTAACTCTACTTAATGTTAGGTCTTTTAAACACTATTGCTCGAAGTACACATTGACCATAAACTGAAATATATATAATCTTTCCAGATATGTGTGTTTACTAGTTGTGTTTACTAGTTGTGTTTTTACGGGGGTTGAGCTTTGCTCTTTCGGCCCGCCTCTCAACTGTCAATCAACTGTTTACTAACTACCTTTTTTCTTTTTCTTTTTTTTCCCACACCACACACACACACACACCCCAGGAAGCAGCCCGTGACAGCTGACTAACTCCCAGGTACCTATTTACTGCTAGGTAACAGGGGCACTTAGGGTGAAAGAAACTTTGCCCATTTGTTTCTGCCTCGTGCGGGAATCGAACCCGCGCCACAGAATTACGAGTCCTGCGCGCTATCCACCAGGCTACGAGGCCCCCCCTAGTGTGTGTGTGTGTGTGTGTGTGTGTGTGTGCGCGTGTATGTGTGTGCGCGTGTATGTGTGTGTGTGTGTGTGTGTGTGTGTGTGTGTGTGTGTGTGTGTGTGTGTGTGTGTGTGTGTGTGTGTGTGTGTGTGTGTGTGTGCATGTTGTACGTAATAGGCCAAATTGCCTAACGAGCCAAATTTTCTTGAAATATCATTTCAAAACGTTTTCCTTGTGGAATGATAAAACTTTCCATAACATTATATATGAACGGATTTGTTTTCTTTTTTTAAGTTTGAGTTAAAACTAACATAAAATTTTGAGTTAAAACTAACATGAAATTTGATCAAACCTTTCCTATTGTAACCTAACCTATCGTAACCTAACTTAACTTATTTAATAATTAATGTTCTTAATATAATAATAATAATTGGAATAAGTCATTTTGGAAAGAATTTTTTTTAAATATTGAAAATCACTCTGCCTATTAGGTAAATTGTGCCTTGCATACTAGGCCAAGAAGTGCAGTTCTGGCTATTAGGTATGACACATCTATACCATGAAAACAAAGAGATTGGATCGTATGGCAGTTGAAAAGATATTTGTCAATAAATACGTGAAAACTGGAATAGATATTGGATAAACGATGGAAATAGCGATGATATTGGAGAGCCGTCGCCATATTCTCCGAGCCATTAGAATGCGATATTGACGAGGAATGTGCAATTAGCCTCGATAAGCAATGGAATATTGGCGAAACTGGCAACTCTTAGGGGGGTCCCTGAGGAGAGGGGGCGGGGGGGCTCCACCATAGAAAATGGGAAATAAAGAGATTTGCTAAAACATATCTAAATAACTTTCGTATTAATAAGAATTTGTTGTTTGCGATATTTTCTTATTGATTATCGAAGGTTGTTGTTAATTCATCTAATGTTTACGAATGTGTGTATGCTTGTGTATTTACACATTTGTGTTTAGAGGAGGACGTCTTGACTATAATAATTACTCCTGAAGTGGGTTGGGCTGTTGTGCTATATACATCTTTGTATATGTGTATAGTTATAGCCCCTCGCTGCCCCCCCATCCCCCCTACAACCACATCTGGTGCCTTCATCTTAGCTCAGTTGTGTGTGTGCACCCACCTGATTGTGCTTGTGGCGGTTGAGCTGAGGCTCTTTGATCCCGCCTCTGAACTGTCAATCGACTGGTGTGCAGGTTACTGGTGAATGTGTGTGCGTGTGTGTGTGTGTGTGTGTGTGTGTACTCACCTAATAGCTCGTTGTGTGTGTGTGTGTGTGTGTGTGTGTGTGTGTGTGTGTGTGTGTGTGTGTGTGTGTACGTTCTTGCCTTCCTGTAGTTGAGCTCTGTGTGCACTTGCTATAATGTGTATTTTCAGGTGTTTTAATAACGCACATGCTGGTATCCGCAAGACTTCAACGATCACATCTCACAAAGATAAGAGCAAAATTAAAATTTGATGTAAGGATCGATAAAGCGAGAGAGAAAGAAGAGAGCGAGAGAAAGAAAGCGAGAAAGAGAACAAGAGAAAAAGAGCGAGAGAAAGATAGCGAGGAAGTAAGAATGAAAGAAAGCGAGAGCAAGAGAGAAAAAGCGAGAGGAAAAGAGAGCAAGAGAGAAAGAGCGAGAGAGAAAGAGAGCGAGAGGGAAAGAGAGCAAGGGAGAAAGAGAGCAAAAGAGAGGTGTTCTGCCAAGCACCTTAAAGCTATACTATCACCGGCCCTCTGAATGAACCTTGTTTATGGTGGGGTGAGTTTGTGTGGGGGGGCGGGGGAGGGGGCTCCGTGAGGTGCGGGTCAGGGTACGGGGTTATGAAGATATTGGTGGGGGGTTGTATCGGTAGTGGCCGAGGGAGAGGTGAAGGCTGAGGTGGGGACGGAAGGGTTGGGATGGGTTGCGAACCTATTGGTTGGGTGGGAAAGTGAGTAATGGTATAGGGGAAGGGAGAGATGAGTTTAGGATAGGAAAAGTGGGGTTGGGGAAGTGGGGAGCGTACAGAGGGCCGGCGGAGACTGTATGCCAATCATAGTCCTTCCTACTCCAGACGGTCAATGATCTGGCGATAAGAGAGAGAGAGAGAGAGAGAGAGAGAGAGAGAGAGAGAGAGAGAGAGAGCAAAGACACAGTTATACTGTATCTCAGGAACGTTTTGATGTTGAGGAAAAAATCAATGGCAGAAAGCATGGCGGAAGAGTAACTCTTTCCTTGTCGCCAGGAGGAGGATATCCGCGGCCAGCGGCGGGGTTATTCTAACAGCGGTGATACCACACTTATAAGGGCAAAATCTATAGTATCTGTATGTATGGTCAGCACAAAACATCTATCAGTAGTAGATTGTGCTAAGATTACTTGTAGCAGGTGGCTGTATGTGACGAATCTGTTAAGTGCTGAGCACGCCACACGAATGCTTTGTTGGAAAGAACTTTGTCATACTCTGGCATTATACATTTGTGTATATACTAATAAGACTCCTTGATTCTACCGGTATGAGGTAGATAATGCTTGACAGTTGATTTATCCATTCTGGTGGAGTAAAAGATATCCCAATAACTTCTCCAGGGTTTGCTAGTGCTGGCTAATGAACTTTATAGGTCATGAATGACTGTGACATGAGGCTCTTAGTGTAGCATAACACAAGCTCTTGACATCAAACACTATAAGTGAAATTATGCTACATTTAGAATGACTAAAGCCACATTACCTTCAGGTTAGATGAAATGAGGCTGTACTCAGGTTAGAATGAGGTAGATAAAGCTATGAGGCTACTTCCCATCTAGAAATTGCTGAGGATGAACACAATTATGGATTACAACGTTCTGAAGCGACCGAAACGTTCCAGGGCCTGAGGTCTTAGCGTTTCTCTGTTGATAAGTCCAGGGACAAAACGTTTATAGGGTGAAATGTTGTGCTTCGAGACGTGTTACTGGAGCGAGCAAGCTGCAGTTCCTTGCTCTCAATTTATCAAATGTATCTGCCCAGATTGTCAAGGGTAATGTGATACTGTTCTTCACGAAAGGCTGGTGTACAAAATGGAGAAAAAAATTGATAATTAGTAAGACACTAAACTGGGTAAAGAAATACCTGACGGACAGAAAACAAAAGGTGACAGATAAGAGGGGTCGAGCCTGAGAGATGTGGCACCTTAGGACCCCATAGTTCAGCCGTAGGACCACTGCTATTCCTAATTGATATAAATGACGTACCCGATAAAGTGACCTCGTACATGTCAACTTTGCAAATAGCTGCACAAACAAATTATGGAAGACCTTAACAAACTTCAGGTATGTGCAGACAATGGCTGTTTAAATTCAGTCCCAACAAGTGTAGGGTAATGAAGACGTGAGAGGGAGAACAGAGACCAGGAGATATTTAAACCATAAGAGGAAGGCAACTAGAGGAATCCAAAAAAGACAAATATTCGAGCGTGGATATAATCCGTACACCACCACCAGAGGTACACACAAACAGGGTAACAACAGATGCAAATGGTAATCGTTACAAGGGCATTTAAACCCATAAATATGTCATCTTTCCTGATAATCTATAGAACATATGTTAGACCAATGCTGAAATATGCAGCACCGACCTGGACGCCACACCTTGTGAAGCATAAAACTAAGATTGAAAAGTGTAGAGCAAGATTAGTGGCATAAATAAGAGAGTTAAACTACAAGGAAAGGTTACGGGAGCTAAGTCTCACAATCTTAGAGAAGAGAAAACTGAAGGGATATTATAATAATATGCAAAATACCGAGGGGAATATTTTGTCAGGGATATTCCTGCGTGGGCCGTAAGCCTCTGGCTGCCCCACTATGAGGGGGGGGGGGTGGAAAAGGTGGACAAGGCCACTCTCTTTAAATTGAGACAAAGTAAGAGAAGATAACTTAGGTGAAAGCTGGAAACTCAAATATGTCGAGAAATGTCAGGAAATACTCGTGCTCTGTACTTGAGCAACGGCCTCGCTGCATGCAGGTCGGCGTTCAATCCCCGACCGTCCAAGTGGTTGGGCACCATTCCTTCCTCCCGTCCCATCCCAAATCCTTATCCTGACCCCTTCCCAGTGCTATACAATCGTAATAGCTTGGCGTTTTCTCCTGATAGTTCCTTTCCCTGTACGGGTGGTCAACAAGTGGAATGACTTGAAGGAATAAGTCACAGAAGCCACCTCCACCCACAACTTTAAGACCAGACTCAACAAAGAACTCGAACCTCAGGAGAGTAACCTCATAACGGAAAGGGTACAGCCAGGCTAGTAGGCGGGGTATAGTGCTAGGCGGCACTTCCCCGTAGTCACTGTTAGGTGGTCACTGTTAAGTAAGCACACACACACACACACACAGAGGGGGACCAAAACAAAAAGGAAGATAATTAAGATCTGGTCTGGGGTTGCCGAGATTGCTTGGCGATTTGGGAGCTGGAACAGTATTGGGGACGTTGGTTGTGTTAAGGAAAGCAGTAAAGATAGGTTGTTGTGGTGGTTGTGGGTAGTGGTTGTGGGTGATGGTGAGTGGTGGGTGGTGGTGGTGGATGGTGGTGGTGGAAGTCAAAATGCTGAACATACAATATAACGTCTATAAGACACAAACTGAAGCACCCAGCTGGGAAGAGAGAAAGTGGGGGATCGTGAGGGGACACTGCTATGGCCGGTACTGAGAAAATCCGGGGAATTCAAGTTTCACATCACGATCGCAAAATGCCTACTGTCGTAAAGCAGTAGTGAGCAGAGGAGATAGGGACAAGAGAGAGAGAGAGAGGGAGAGGAAGGGTGGAGTGAGGGACATGTAACAAGGAAGAGAGGAGTGAGGTAAGGTGTGGAACATCCCCACAGGTCTGGAGCAAGTACTGAGGCTTCTCACAGCAAGTGGGTGTTCCCGGAGTGGAGTGCATGGTTACGGTGGGCCGGGATGGTACTCCACGCCCACTGTGCATGTGGGGCTAGAGAGGAAGAGAGTGAGGGCGGGTGAGAGTAAAGGGAGAGGGCGGGTGAGAGTAGAGAGAGAGAGAGAGAGGGGAAGGGCGGAGGACGATGTATCCTTACCGGTGGAATCAGTGTGGTTAGCTGAGCCAGTGATGACGGAAGCTTGTGCTCCCGTACGTTATCTTGGTGACATGGCGGTGTGGTGACCGTACAGCTGGACTGGTGAACACCCCCCCCCCCGTCACCAGCACACTGGCTCACCCCAAACCCAGTCACCAAATTCCCCACCCCTTGTACCCTGCTACTCTCACCATCCTCCAACAACGCCTAGAGGCGCCGGAGCACCTTTCAAAACTGACAGTCGCCCTCGGAGCAGGGAGCTTACCTCGAGGATTTAACAAACTGTTGTGGATGGTGGGGGAGTATATGGAGGATGTTGGGGATGGCCTGCTTCAAGAGGCTCTCCTTCCGTAGAGGTGAAGTTGGTAGCGGCCTCGTTTTGTTGCCTATAGTTGCCTCTAGGTTGCTTATTGTACTGATGCTGCTAGTATGTTGATGCTGCACTGACATGCTATGCTGACATGATATGCTTCGCTTATATACTATGCTGTAAAGGCATGCTATGCTCTACTAAAACAAAAAATATGCTTAGCTCTCTGGCATACAATATCGAGATGCATGTGCTGATATGCTGTGCTCAGCTGACATATTATGCTGCGCTCAAACAAAAATATGCTTTATTCTGCTGGCATGCTATACAGAGTTGCCATGTTATAGGCCTGCCATTATGCTTCGTTATGCTTACATGTTTCTCTATTAATAGAGAATCTTACTTTTGAGGATTAGCATACCAGTGCTGTGGATTGCTCAGGTGCCCAGAGAGAGAGAGAGAGATTAGCCACATAACAGCCCTGAGCACTTTGCATATGCATGAGAATTTTACTTGTTTATGAAACAAGCTCAATTATCACTGATGTGAGGCGGGGCCCCTTGTTCTGTGTATTATTTTAAGAAAGATACAGCTACGTATGTCAATACTTGCATTCATACAGATGCTGTATGATATTGTAACCCAATTGAGGGAGGGGGTTAGATAGTGAATTGAAAAGCTTATCGGATGTATTGAAATGTGGGGAATGGGGACGTCGTGGGGAAGGGGGGTGGTAGTGTGGTTGTGGTGGAGAGATGGGAGGTGGTTGTAGGGAAGGGGTGACAGTTGCAACTGTATTGGAATTTATATAGAGTGGGAGGAGAGGCTTCTATAGTTGTTTAAAGACACGCGTACACCCTACACCTCCAATCTTGCCACCCCCACGCCACCTACACCCCCACACGCCACAGTCCCACATTAGAAACCCTTATGGTTTCTAGTGGCCATAAGAGTAGTCTAGTAGCCATGACAATGGTCTCTATACTGGCCATGATAAGGGTCTCTACTTTTGTTGACACTGGTGCGTGTTAAGCATTACAGGTGCGTTGTATCACAAATGTCACGTATTACATGTGCGTTGTATTACAAGTGTCGAGCATTACAGGTGCGTTGTATTACAAGTGTCGAGCATTACATGTGTGTTGCATTACAGGTGTCAAGAGCGAAGTGTCGAGCGTGACGTCAGGTCGAACACAGGGGTCAGCCCCCAGCCTCAGCAGAGACTCTTTGGTGGTAGTGACTCACGCCTCCTCCGGACACCAGGTACGACTCTAATGAAAGGTACTACCTCATACACATGTATGGTACGACCCCCATACCAGGTGCTACCCCCCTACACACTTGTGGTAAGACCACCATACCAGGTGCTACCCCCCTACACACTTATGGTAAGACCACCATACTAGGTGCTACCGCCTCACACGTATGATAAGACCACAAAAGGCACAACCGCGTCAGCAAGTACGACTCCCATGTGAAACACAATCCTACGAGCAATGTACTATTGTTAACAACATCGACCCTCATTCCACCTTTGATCTCCCATCCCTCAAGAGCCACCAGTGATAAGTTTTCCAAATAGACTCATTTTTGTTTTTCCTTTTCCCGAGGCTATGAACTTTTTGTTTTGTAGTAGCCTATTCTAATCAAAAAGAACCGCATTCACACCAGATTTGACATTCACACGAGCCGCATCTTAGCAGCACCACGAACATAATGACACAGAAATGAATACTAGATAATAATAATAATAATATAAAATCATTGTAGCACTCCAGAGATTTGAACCAGGGTTCAGGGCCGCCACAATCTGGCGCCAAAATGCTGCTTGGAATCCCCAGAATACTCCAATCATTTTCGCATAATAATATCAGGCTATTGTAATTTCCTAATGAGAATAATAATATTCATAATAGTAACAAATTTGAGGGTATTATAAAAAATGGCGCTGTTATCGTTGCTGTACTTGCAATATATGAATGACAATATGTAACAAGAGGAATCCTAGTCAGTGTGCAACTGATATTAAGTGCAGAATTATCAAACTCTTATTTGATAATAACTGTTAAAGGCTTCTCTCTAATTGGGTATTAATTATTAACGGCTTAAAAAAAGGCTTAAATTACCTCTATTTTGGCAATAATTGATTTAAGCTTCACTTTAATTTGATAATAATTAAAAAGCGTTCCCTCAAATTTGGTAATAAATGAGTAAAATGTTATAGAACCTTTTGTACAACGAACCTGAGGCAGTCGTAATGATGATGTCCGTTGGTGTGGCGGGAGCTGACGTCCGTTAGTGCGGCGGGAGCTGACGTCCGTTAGTGCGGCGGGAGCTGACGTCCGTTAGTGTGGCGGGAACTGATGTCCGTTTGTGTGACGAGAACTGATGTCCGTTAGTGCGGCGGGAGCTGACGTCCGTTAGTGCGGCGGGAACTGATGTCCGTTTGTGTGGCGGGAACTGATGTCCGTTAGTGCGGCGGGAGCTGACGTCCGTTAGTGCGGCGGGAACTGATGTCCGTTTGTGTGACGGGAACTGATGTCCGTTAGTGCGGCGGGAGCTGACGTCCGTTCGTGTGGCGGGAACTGGTCGGCGTGTGAGGTGGTGGTGGAGTGGGCTGCAAGTAGTCACCTAAGTCTTTAAAATTGCTGAGCTACTGCTCTGCGGCGCGGGAATATGATCCGCAAAAATAATGGAATCTTCAGCTATTTTGTTTTTTCCCCATAACAGTCCATCATATTACCCAAAGCCTCCTTCATTTACATAAGTAAAAAGGAAATATAACATATCTGCTTACTATAATGTTTGTGCTGAACATAGGTGAAAAAGTTTAGTTTAGTTCATTTATTATGCACCCCATACCCATCTTGTGGGCGGTAGTGGAAAGGGTTACAGAGGCACATAATGGGCTCAGGGACTGAACCCCACAATTCATTTAGCTAAGCAAGTTACAATCTTGATGAGCTAGTTACAAAATTCAATATAAGTCATCACATCAACAATGGGTTCGAGATCGACCTCAAGTACAGGTTCTAAATTAAGCAACTGACATATGTGGAGAGCTAGTGTCAAAATTTATATGTTTGTCCTGCACACCGCCCCCCATCCAGTGGGCAGCGGTGGATAGGTTACAATCACTTAGTTACTACCTACAGTTAGCAAACTGGGGATATTTGGCTAAAATTTCTGGTAGCAGATCATTTTGAATGAAATATTGACACATCGCTGGAACATTGGTTATAGAATTGTCTCTCAATTCACGTATCTTTTCGCACTCCATCACATAGTGACGGAGGGTGTGCGAATAATTTTGTTGACACAGTTTACATTTGGTCAGGTCTACATCAGCAGATAATGAGAATTCCCAGAGATACTTGTAACCGAGTCTAAGCCGAGCAGTAGTAACATCTAGAAGTCTGCTGATTTTATTGGATGATCCATAGATGTGTGGCTCCTCTTGCATGATAGTATGATGATAGATGGAATTACTGGTGTCAATTTCACTTTGCCTCAGATCTACAAGATCTTGTTGAAGTTCTCGGTGCACAGCTGCTCTCAGATTGCTCATTGACAATCCAAGGTTACACTCAACGGCTCCTTTAAAGGCAGATTCTTTGGCTAACTTATCAGCTCTATCATGCATTCGGAGGCCAACATGAGATGGAGACCACATGAAATGGACTCTGTTACCATCCTTAGTAATTTTGTTGTATTTGTGTCTAGCTTCGGACACGAGCATGTTACAGTTATGTCTTAAAGAGTTGAGAGCATTTAAGGATGATAAGGAGTCACTTACAATTAATGTATCAAGTTTTGAGACTTGTACACATTTCAGTGCAAGGATCAAGGCAAATAGTTCAGTCTGAAGGGTAGAGGCCCAGTTGTTTATACGGACTCCCCACTCAAAGTATAGGCCATCGCCCATTGTCAGGACAACTGCACTTCCAGCTGCACCCGTGGTGCGGTGTAGGGAACCATCAGTGTATATAATTTGAGAGAGAGAATGCTCTGTGGACAGAGCATCAATATGGCTTAAGGCGTTGAGCTTTGCCTCAAGACGAAGCTGAAAAAAATGGATTTATTAATGCATATAACAACACGAGTCACTCAAATCCCCGACTTTTATGGCCACCAACTATGGGATATTGTTATAAAAAGTTATTTTCGAGTAAAATTATGTTTTATTCATGTTTTAAATTAACTCCAATATTATAATAAGTAATGTTAGATTTATTCTTTACAGAAATAATTTAACGAGGCTTTAGATACCCAAGGAGTAGCCTTGGGGAAGCTTTAGGATATTCTATGGACCTCCAACCCACCAGTGGGTATTGAGAATTTTTATATATTGTCTATAATGATGGTTTGTGAGAGGATTCTCTCTTCCCCCATCACCATCCAGGCTTGCCTGCTCTCTGAGAGGGGCTCCCCCTCCGAGTACCTGTGTGAGTGTAGCTGCTGTAGTGACCCACCATCTGACCTGGCCTGCTCCTGTGGCTGCCCAGGTGAACACGGCGGCAACAATGATCATGCACCAGGCAAGGATGATGGTCACAGGAGTCCTAATGGTGACGACGACGACCTCCTGCCCAGGAGCCTCTCCATGCCTCTCAAGGAGGAGGCCAAGCTGGTGAGAGTCACTCCTCTTCTTTGAACCACTTTCTTGGCTTGGGTTTTATTTTTTATTTTTATTGTGAGGGAAATTGGTGTGGCTAGTTGTGGCGTTTAAATTAATCCCATCATTTTTATTCGGTCTCTTGGCTTTAGTTTTTGCAAATTATGCAGCCATCTCTGAGGGTGATTATATTGGGGTTTGAGAGCTAGGCAATGGTTGAACTATTTGAATTACTGTATTTCTCTAAAAAATGGTTTACATCACTTGGTAGTAAACATTACATAATGTTCAACATTTGCAGGAAGCAGTTTTTATATTTAATTAAGGTTTTGGGTAACAATGTATAATTTCAATTTTTTTGTTAATTTTAAGAATATTAGTAAGTTGTTTCTATGCATTAGTGAAATTGTTCGCATTCATTTACATGGTGAAGTTATCCCGGTCCAAGTAGTACACTAGGGTTTGTTCTCGACTCAAAATCGAGAATTCTGGGTTAGAATCCTGGGCAGGACAGAAATGGTTTGAGTGCGTTTACTATCACCTAATGCCCCTGTCCACCTAGCAGTAATTAGGCACCCAGGAGTTAGTCAGCTTGTTGTGGGGTTGCATCCTGGGTGGGGTTGGTTCCTCAATATAAGCTTAACATGAATTATTCTGAAAACTGACCAAGCTCACCTACCTCCTATTTCACCAACCTCATTTCTATTACAATGCCATGGGACCTTGCATAATAAATAAGTTACTTATGTGTGTTGCAGTTATGATATGAGTTTCTGTGGCTCTCAGTGTAATACATATTTTCAGGAACTTTTGGCCAAACAAGAATAAAGGTTCCATATATAGTATAACAAAAGGCCCTTGAATTCTTGCCAGCTCCAGGTCCAAAAAAAGTCCTTAGTACAGCTTTTAATAATAGGAACAGGAAGCCTGTTATGCTTATTGAGACCCACCCAGCAAATGGCTAACTCTCAGGTGCCTAGACTTGTAAGAAAACTACAAGGTTGGAAAACAAATATGTAAGGCTGAAATTTTGTTGTATACATACTGTAATGTATAAATATATATATTTTTCAGCAGGGAAATGATGACAGTCAGCAGGAGACCATCAACAACAACAACAGTGTGCGATCTAAGGTTGGTCCTCGCCCCACCAGCAACCCAGTCGCCTTTAGCCCCTGTGATCTGACCTTACCCCGGCCCACAAGACGAGGTCAGTACTCAAGGCACACTTAATTTAAAATGTTAAGGAAAGTGTAGCTCACTTAAGTTTGTGAGGATGCAATTAATGTTTGATGTTATGGCTAAAGTTGAATACGTAGTGAAATAAAGGAATTTTGCATGGTCTGATCAGATCCATTATGGCAAAATGATCTCATAAGGCAAGGGTGTTGCATGTAGCACAGGTATTTTTCTTGTACTCTTTCTTGAGTGAGCTGAGCTTTAACTCTTGACATATCTACATTTGATTGAAGAGTTTGACTCTCAAACACATCATTTTATATATCCATACAGCATTGATTGTGTAGTACATCAAGATATCGTGCAGGTTTATCATGCCCTTGTGTGCCCTTTCCTGTATATACTACAGTAGTCTTTTCACTATTTACTTCTAATGTAAGAATTTTACCTGAATTTACCCGAGACCAGCTCAGTTTCATGAACAATAGCCATAGGTCCACCTAGGTCACTGTTTGGTTACCAGGCCTGTGTGACTTTGTACCCCACCGAGACAAGTACCTCATCAATTAGGTTTGTCACATATAATCATAGGCAGGGAGAACAGTGGACATGATACCTCAATCCACCACAGAGAAACTGCTTGCTTAACACCAAAGAACATATCAACCCAATCAATAAATATTCTGGACTTAAGCCCAAAGCCAACCTGTCTGGCTCTGTCAAGTCCTGTCCTTGGGAAGAGTGGAACATTGCCTAAGGTAGAAGTTGAACAGCCTGCTCAGAAAGGATCTTTTCAACTACAGTAAAAAACTTACATACTTTTTGTTGTTCTCATTAAGCATCGATTCATATTTTAAAACTCACACCATGACTCCCATACAGAAAAGTTGAAGTGCTGAAACTGCATTCTTCCATGTGTTTCTTCTGGGCATTTTGGACATAATTTTTTCCATGTATTGAAGTTCATAAACCTTTCTCTTGCATTTTGCTATCATCTTTTTTCCACTTTACCCTCTCATTATTTGTTTATATACTGGTATATGTTAGGCTCATATCGAGGTCCCCCCCTCACCCAAGGTTGGAACTACTGACCCTCCCCAGGATGCAACCCCACAACAGTTGACTAGCTCCCAGGTACCTATTTACTGCTAGGTAAACATAGGCATTAGGTGATAAGAAATGTGCCCATCCATTTCTGTCTCACCTGGGACAGAAGAGACAGCTAAGTCTTCCATGGTAGGTGATACACATCTTTTTGAAAAATTTTATTTTTCTTATTTTTAATGCAGTTATTTATTATTTTTAATGCAGTTATTTATTATTTTTAATGCAGTTATTTATTATTTTTAATGCAGTTATTTATTATTTATTAACATCATTGTTTAATTATTAAATGTAAGTATGAATTTACTTATACTGTATACCTGTTCATTCCAGCCATAATTGTAACAATTTGTACGAGTTATTATGAATACAGTTTCTAATTCTAATTCTTAAAGAAACAGAGTAAGTCACAATAATGTGGATGAAAATTAGACACCCAATCCATACATCTGAAAATAAAGAAAGTGATGACATCTGGACCCTTAATGGACCATTATCAGTACGATAGCACAATTGATGTTGACGGTGAGATTTATTTTTCAGACTCAGGGTTGTGCGGTGAAACTCGCCTGAGGACCTTAGAGGCGGGGTGTCTACCACTGTCACCAGAGTCACGTCTGGATGAACAGAGTGCCTCGTCAAGTGGTAAGTATCTGGAGGCTGTCTCTACAGTTTTTTGTTTAATTTTTGCTTTTGAAAAATCTACCACTCATAGCCATAAATTTAAATACAGTATGAGGCATTCTACCGGTATGCCTCATTTTATGAAATAGTGGCTGTACAAGAATGTAAGACCTCTTGTATATACAGTATAAATAAAATGTAATTTAGTTAGGGGGACACTGCTGACCATAAAGTGAGGCTGGCAGCAAAGTTTGTATGGTGAGGCCGGTGGGAAAGCCCATCTGGTGAAACGGCTGGGCCAAAGCAGGTCAGGGGAGGTTTTGCTCCTGGTTGGTCTGTAGTGGTACTGCTGGTGATTGTCCTGATGCTGTGGTCTCACGGTCCTCTGCCAATGATGCATGGACCATTACTGCTTGCTAAATGATTGAGGAAAAGCCACTTAGGACGTGTGTGGATGTCTGAGCAACACCTGTTTATACTGTTTTGTAAATGTAGGAGGAAAAACTTAGATGCTTCATGTAGCTGTTACAGATAAAAGGCACTGACTGTTTTAAATTTTGTAGCTTATAAAAACCAGTAGCTATAAAGAGTAGAGATATAGTATTTAATATTTGCTAAACAACAAACACAAATTGTCTTATAAGTGAATAGATACAAACTTTCCTGTTGTTTACTATCCAGTACTGGACACTGTCTTTCCTGGTGCACGAGGAGGAGAGTTGGAGGCAGCTGCAGCAGACGAAGCATTCAGAACACGCTCACTGCCAGCCTGGGTCAGGAACAAGACTCGCCCTCTGACTGCCTTGGATGACCTCAATACTATCTATGAAAAGGTAAAACTTCCAAAAGGTCATTAATAATTAACCAACCTCAGTGTACTAAATTAGAAAACAAGATCATTACCTGCTTGATGGGGTTCTGAGAGTTCTTCTACTCCCCAAGCCCGGACCGAGGCAGGCTTGACTTGTGTTGGTCCGGCACTTCTTGAAGAAAACTATCCAGTTTTCTCTTGAAGACGTCCACTGTTGTTCCGGCAATATTTCTTATGCTCACTGCGAGGATGTTAAACAACCGTGGACCTCTGATGTTTATACAGTGTTCTCTGATTGTGCTTATGGCACCCCTGCTCTTCACTGGTTCTATTCTGCATTTTCTTCCATATTGTTCACTCCAGTATGTTGTTATTTTACTGTGCAGATTTGGGACCTGCCCTCCAGTATTTTTCACGTGTATATTATTTACAAGATTACTTGTAAATTACTTGATTACTTTACAAGATTATAAATACTATGCTATGTATTCTCACAAACCCAGTGTACCTTCTTGTATATAAATAAATTTGATATCTCTCTCGTCTCCTTTCTAGTGAGTACATTTGGAGAGCTTTGAGACGATCCCAATAATTTAGGTGCTTTATCGTGTCAGTGTATGTTGTATATGTTCTCTGTATTCCCTCTATTTTGGCAATCTCTCCTGCTCTGAAGGGAAAAGTGAGCACTGAGCAGTACTCAAGATCATTAAATGAAATCCATCATATATCTAATTAATCATGACCATTAGTGACCTTTAATACCAAATTATCTTTATAATGGACAAATTGTTAGAAAGCCATAGAGGATTTAGGACTTTAAACATTGTCTCCAAAAGGCATATACATTAAATGAATGAATGTATATTATTATATTATATTTTCTTTCTGGCTTGCTCCTGAGATAAAATCAGTTAAACTTTGGTAATTTTTTATGTTTTATGTGATCCATTTTGCCATACAAGCTAAACTGCCACAGATACTTTTAGATAATTTCTGTTCAACTTGTGGCAACATCTGTTAGAGCACTGAGTTTGTTGCTTGTTCCATATACGGTACATGTGTTTTGTCCGACACATTTCACTGTTATACTACTGGGAAGGGTACCGGTAATACATTGGCGTTCGTTCTCGAAGCACAATTGAGAATTCCGGGTTCGAATCCCGGGTGGGAAAAATGGTTGGGTACATTTCCTTTTACCGAATGCCACTGTTCGCCTAGCAGCCAGTAAGTACTCAGGAGTTAGTCAGCTTGTTGTATCCTGGGCTGGGTCAGTAATTCGACCCTTACCTCAATAAAAAGCCTAATTTATATAAATACACCCTGGCTTTCTGTCCCCCAACACGGTGAATTAATTATGAATTACCTGTATACACAATGACTTGGCTAGTGCCTGTTTACACTCTTCCATTTAGATTCACACTACATATATACACTATACATAGACAAACAAATAGAATTTGGTTAACAATACAGGTATAAACAATATAAAGGTCAAGAATAAAAAAGTGGAAAGATTCCTAGGCCTATACTTAACAGTACATTGACATTATACATAACTTTTAACACACATACAACAAATAACCCAAAATGTATCCAAAATGTACAGTTTAGATTCTTGTTTAGCTAATTAAATGATGCTTTTATGTTTGGGTAGAGTTAATGATTGGATTTCGTCTACCTACAGTACTGCCTGTTGAAAATTCTGAGGATTAGTATCCTCGTGGCCCAGTCTTTGACCAAGCCTCTACTCCCAGGTCTTTTTCCCTTATTTTTAGTTATTATTGTTTCTTGTAATTGACTTCTCATCTGATTGCCTGCAATGGAACTTCTGAGAACTTTTGAGCAACTATATTACTCTTAAAATAGTTGCAACGGTACAGTTGCATAAACTCTTTCATTTCCTTTTAGTCAAAGGATCGTTGAGTGTTCCTAAGGTTTGGTTGACGTTTTTTACTGAATTTGTTCAATATCTTAATGGTTTCAATGAGACAACTCCTGTCATATTGGTTTGTAGTGTCACTAGTACCAAGTAGTAGTAGTTTAGTTCATTTATTATGCACCCCATACCCATCTTGTGGGCAGTAGTGGAAAGGGTTACAGAGGCACATAATGGGCCCAGGGACTGAACCCCACAATTCATTTAGCTAAGCAAGTTACAATCTTGATGAGCTAGTTACAAAATTCAATATAAGTCGTCACATCAACAATGGGTTCGAGATCGACCTCAAGTACAGGTTCTAAATTAAGCAACTGACATATGTGGAGAGCTAGTGTCAAAATTTATATGTTTGTCCTGCACACCGCCCCCCATCCAGTGGGCAGCGGTGGATAGGTTACAATCACTTAGTTACTACCTACAGTTAGCAAACTGGGGATATTTGGCTAAAATTTCTGGTAGCAGATCATTTTGAATGAAATATTGACACATCGCTGGAACATTGGTTATAGAATTGTCTCTAAATTCACGTACCAAGACCCTCAATCTTTGTAAGAAAAAAGTTTTATGTAACAAAATGCAAATTTAATCAGTAAAGCTGTTTAAAATAAACTTTTGGGTACATTGTTGAGAATGCTCCAAACACAGAATATGATATGGATATTTAAAGTTATTTATCATACTATAAATTCTGATTCCCTCCATCTTCCCTACTGGAAAAATAGCTTATCCATCCACAGCCTCATTTTTGTAGGGTCATTGTTTGATTCCTGATTGTCCAAGTGATAGGGCATTATTAATTTATTATCCATGTATCCCAGTTCTAAGGCTGTCCTCATGTCCCAGCTCTTAATCTGTCCTTTATCTCTTATAAGTGCTATAATCATGCTGTTTAGCATGATTATAGCACTTATAATTTATAGCACTGATAATTACCTTTATCTTAGCACAAAATGACTCATTTCCCAGGTTTAAGGTTATTGCTGGTGTATATTCATATTATTGATTGCATTCTTTACAGCCAAACTGGAGCAAGCGCCGCAGAAACCGAATGCGTAGTGATGCTGCAGCCGTCATCGCCCTAAGCAAGTCGAGAGGCCGCCTGCTGTCTCCTAACCCTCAAGCATCAGGTCAAGCAGCTGCTGCAGCAGCCTTACCAGACACAGCTGCTCTTGTGGAAAATGAAGCAGTCATTGTGTATGATGAGAGAACAGCTCTCTAGGATATAAAAAAGTAATTTTTGTGTATATAAAGGTTTGAAGGATGGTTCAGCCAGAATTATCTAACCTACAGGTTAAACAGGGTTTTGTTAAAAAAAAAAAAAAAGTCAGCATTCAAAACATCATCATCCTATACATAAGGGAAACATATTCACATTTGTCTGAAATGATCAACTTTGCAATGTAAGCTATTCTGATATTAGTTATGACAAAAATCACAAAAATCTGAATGGGAAAATATATCACATCTTTTCTACTGAAGGTGTTAATCTTACATAATGATGAAAGTTATTTGAATTCAGTGTATATAATCTGATTTATTTATAATTGAGGCAATTACAATTTTAAGGATGCTGCAATACTGTCAGTATTACTCTATGCTAGATGGAGTGAACAAGGTGTACAAACACATATATCAGAAGCTTGTAGCCCAGGTGTGGAGTTCAGTTTTGTGTGGGGCTCAGTTTTGTATGGGGCTCAGTTTTATGTGGCAGCTCAGTCATGCAAGGTGGATAAGTTTTTAAATGCCAGAGGTCCCTCTTTTTTTTTTTACCCTGTCTTTTTAATCACATGGGACTTGCACAGAAAATGGAGCATTAGTCTGTGTGATTCAACCCCTCCCCCCTCCCAAAGACTAACGTGTCACTTAAGCATCTAACTATGGTCTTGCATTTAAAGAAATAATACAAACTTGTATGTGTATTGCTTAAGACTTGGGTAAGAGGCCAGTACATATTTACTATGTTAGTGATATTAAACACAGTTTTATTCCCTTAGTATGCAGAATTTTGCAAATAAACCATTTATGTGTTTTCTCATCTGTTGTTAAGCTTATAAATTATAATTGTAGGAATATAAATAATTTAATGTGCTAAAGCAGTTACAGAATTTTATTACGGCCATTACAATCCGTCTTTTAATTAAGGTTTATGATTTTTCTTAAACTAAAATTGTTGGAGGTGCACTTTTCAGAAATTATAAATTTGCTCCTGGAAAAAACCCTAATGATCAATATTCCTTAAACCAACAAAGTTATCTAGTTCATAGCAGTGCTGAACCCTTAAACATAACCTATTGAATGGTATACTTTAAATTAATATTTGCCAGTGTCTCTCATCTTAAGAATATATCCAATAACTAAATCCATCCTCCTAGATATCCAACCTGCCCAGAAGGTATTCGGAAGAGTTGGTGTTGTAGGACATTCAACCTGCCCAGAAGGTATTCAGTGCAAATGAAAGCAACGGCACCAATTTTGAAGTGACCGATGTAGTCACTTTAAAGCATCAATCCTAACCCACTTGAAGTGACCTAGCCATTACCATAAGATAAAGATTTACTACTTAGATGGATTTTTGTAAAGACAGGTGATCATTTTTAGAGTTAAAAAGATATGTATTAAACATTTTATATTGTGCTTTTTGTCTGTGTGAAAGTGTTAGTGAGTGGATTTTTTTAGTGCCTTGAATGAATGATGCTTTATAGATGTACAAGCTTAATAATGTCTTTTTAATACTGACTTAAATGTTGTAAATTAAATGTATTATTATATTGTCATAGTTTATGTATGATAAAGAGATCTTGATAAATACTGAGTTTATATAGCCTCTTGAGATGTAGTGTAATTATTGAGAATTCATTTATTTTATTAATACTGTATTCTGTTTCTAGCTACCTCATTGATTCTGCTTAAAAAACAGTGCAATACAATATTTGTTTAGTTGTACTGAAGGGTGGTCCTGTTGCACAGTGGTTAGTGCAATCAGGGTTACAATGGAAAGGCCCTGGAGTCTATTCCCACAGCTGGACATACACATTTGGGCATGTTTTCTTTCACTTGATTTTAAAGTTCACCTAGCAGTAAATGGAGTAATCAAGATTTAGGCAAGTGTTGTGGGGTTGCTTCCTCAGAGGGTCAGTAGTGGGCCAAGGGGTAACTCGTTAAGCCTAACAGGTGTTCTACGCCCTGAAAAATGGGAATACTGTATATATACAGTATATTATATATATAAATTATTGACACACACACACACATGGCAAGTACGTAAAAGGGAAAGATCAACCCTTGTGGATCACCCTAAATGGTGCCAAACAGATGGAAGAAGTACTTGGGAATGCTAGAAAATTACACAGTAAAGAGGAAGGCAAAGTATGGTGGTTAATATGAGACCTTTCAAAAGAAGATAGACAGAAGCTAAAATTGAACCTCATAGAGGCAAAACATCTAAATGAGAGCAGGAATGAAGAAATCAATTGTTTTTTCTACAAAGTGATAGAGGAAATCAGACCAGTAAAATGGTACAAAAGGGCAAACCAACAAAATTGCTAGAGAAAGGGGAAGTGAGAATAAGGAGAGAGGGAACATGTTCCTGAAAATTGTATACACCAACATGGATGGAGTGAGATCAAAGATACTGGAGTTAAGTGATGTAATACAGCTCAGCCGCCAGATATTGTTGCACTCACGGAGACGAAACTTGAAGATGATATTTTAAATGAAGTCATATTCCCAAGGGGCTACTCAGTTTGGAGACAGGACAGAAAAATTAGTTAAGGTAGTAGCGTTGCTGTGCTGGTGAAAGAACACCTAAAGGTAAACGAAATAATGATTGTCAATCCACAAGAAGTTGACATAATAGCACTAGAGATCTGCAATCAGGATGATAAATGCATATAGTCCACCTCCATACAACACATGGACAAAGGAGGAGCTGGATGATAAACGAGAGGATCTTATAACAATAATGAGAGAGAGTATAACAAGAACGGATAAAGATAGATCACGACTGTTGGTAGTCAGCAACTTCAACTTGAAATCCATAGACTGGGAGGCACATGAAGCTAGAACAGAGGAATTTTAGACCCGTAAATTCATAAACCTCATCCTGGAAACATTCATGTATCAACATGTTAAACAATCTGTGAGGATGAAGGAAGGGGATGTTCCCTCCATTCTGGATTTGATATTTACCAGGAAAGAGGAAGAGATAATTGACATCTAGTACCTTCCTCCCTTGGGTAAAAGTGACCATGTCTTTTGGGGAATAAAGTATGCTATGTGCTATAATCTGAAAGAAAATGAGGAGGTTGAAGCAGTTGAAAAACCTGATTTCAGGAGAGATCATTATGGGGAACTTAGGAATTTCTTTAATTATGGAATTTGACTAGAAAGACTTGCTGTTAGGAAATGAAGTAAATGAGATGTATGTCAAGTTTTGTGAAATATATGATAAGGCACAAAAAATAATATACCAAAGCAGAGATGCAGAACTAGGAAACAGGATTGGTTCATCAGAAATTGCGAGAGGGCCAGAGACCAAAAGGCACAAAAATGGAATCAATATAGGAAGAGGCCAAATCCCCAAACATACCAGTGATACAAAGCTGCAAGAAACAACTACACGGCAGTAAGGAGAGAGGCAGAAAGAAATTCTGAAAAATGGATAGCAGACAAATGTAAAACAGAACCAGGCCTATTCTATAAATTCAAAAGCAACAAATTGCAGGTAAAGGATAATATTCAGAAGTTGAAAATGGGAAACAGATTCATGGAAAATGAAAATGAAATGTGTGAAACATTAAGCAAAAAGTTCCTAAGTGTGTTTGTACAAAATGAAATCTTCAGGGAACCAGACACAATAAGAATTCCAGGGAACAACATAGAGCACATAGAGGTGTCTAGAGATGAAGTGAAAAAAAGACTGCTCAAGGATCGAAGTAAGAACAAAGCAGTTAGCCCAGATGGAGTTTCACCATGGGTTCTGAGATAATATGTACCTGAGCTCAGCATTCCACTTCAACTGATTTTCCTGGCATCCTTGTGTACAGGAGTCATAACAGATGTGTGGAAAAAGGCTAACATAGTTCCAATCTACAAAAGTGGCAAAAGGGAAGACCCCCTCAATTATAGACCTGTATCATTGACAAGTGTAATAGTCAAAATATTGGAAAAAAATAATTAAAAATAAATGGGTAGAACACCTGGAGAAAAACGATATACTGTATCAGATAGTCAATACGGTTTTCGATCCAAAAGATCGAATTTACTCAGTTTCTATGATCGAGCCACAGAGATTTTACAGGAAAGAGATGGTTGGGTTGACTGCATCTATTTGGACCTAAAAAAGGCTTTCAATAGAGTTCTGCATAAGAGGTTGTTCTGGAAACTGGAACATGTTGGAGGGGTGACAAGTAAGCTTCTAACATGGATGAAAAATTTTCTGATAGAAAAATGAGGGCAGTAATCAGAGGCAATGTATCGGACCGGAGAAATGTCACAAGTGGAGTACCACAGGGTTCAGTTCTTGCACTGGTAGTGTTCATTGTCTACATAAACGATCTACCAGATGGAATACAGATGATGCTAAGATAATGGGGAAGTTAAGAAACTTAGATGATTGTCATGCTTGTCAGCAGCTTGTCAAAGGTACCCCAATTTGTTCTGATGATTTTTTCCAGCTGGATTTTAAAAGTTCTGCAGAGTTTTGGCATCTACGGCTTTGGCAGGAGGCGGTTCCATGGGTGAAAAACAGGTGATGCTTTTACACCCTGTTGGTAAAAAAGCATCTCCAGTTTTCTGTCCTACATTGTGGCTTGTTGAGCTGCTTGAAATCGTTGTTCCTTGTTTGTGTTACCGTACATCTGACCTTCTGAAGTTGTCAGGGTCAACATCCTCCAAATTGTTTAGTATTTTGATTGTTTCAATGAGATCTACCCTGTCATGTCTGGTTTGCAGAGATGTTAGCCCTGTGGCCCTCAACTTGTCCTGGTATAAGAGTTTTGGAATTATTTTTGTTGCCTGGTGTTGAACTTTCTCCAATGAAGCTATGTAAATCTAAAGATGAGGTCTCCATGCCTGAATGCAATAATCCAGGTGGTGGCACACCAGAGATTTATACAATTAAATGACTAGTGCACCAAAGATTTATATAATTGAATGACTAGCGCACCAGAGACTTATACAACTGAATGACTAGCGCACCAGAGATTTATAAAATTGATTGACTATGTTTTATTCAAATTATTTGACCTTTTGAAAAAGTGGTCTGGATAAGTATTCTCCAAAGTGTTTATTAGTCCCATAGCCCTCAACAATTCCTGGTATGAGAGTCAACTTAGTTCCGAGATAATTTTTGTTGTCAGGTGTTGAACTTTCTCTAAAACAAATACTATGTCCTTCTGAAGGTGGAGTTTCCATGCTTGGAAACCAACAGTAGATTATCAATCTCATTTTTCTGACTATAGATGCCTTTGCAACTGAATCAGAGCCTTTGTGTCTCCTAAAATGAAGAGCTTAATGTAGGAGAAAGTACAGTATGTCCATAACTGCATTACCACTTTCTTTTCATTCAGGCTGAGAAGTCCTACATGCTGAGTTTTTCACACTGAGAAGTGCTTCCTTCACAATAATCCTTTTTTGACATTGTTTGTCATGTAAAATGCAAACATAGACAACATTCTAGAAAATGTAAGATAAGAGGCTTGTTCACTGGATCAGATCTTATTCATCAACTGGTGCAATTACTTTCTTTGAATTAAAGGTATACACAGGAAGTATAATCTCCTCAACAAAGGGATGAACTTACAATACCTGTATAGCCTTCTGAAAAGAGAGAAAATGCTATAACAAAACAAAAGAAGGAAGAAAGCCATATCCTCAACAGAACCAGTAATGACATACTCATTAAACTAAAAAAAAAAAAAAAAAAAAAAAAAAAATCAACGCAACTGTTAATGTTAAAGACATTGGAGGATTATCCAAACAATATTCCTAAATTATCGCTTTCAAGTATATTACAAAGAATTTTTAATTAATTAATTCTATTGTACCGTTTCCAGGCTTTCATGAGATTGGACATACATATGTATTTAGTATTCAAAATACAATAATTTTGGCTCTGAGAATTATTATATTCTAGATTTGACAGTTTCCAGCACTTACAAAAATATATATTTAATTTTATTTATTTATTACATATATATGTACAAGAGTTCGTACATTCTTGTACAGTAGCATTTCAAGCAAGTCCTTAATCCTATGTTCCCCAGAATATGACCCCGCCAAATCGTTTAACAACCAGGTATCCATCTTACTGTTGGGTAAACAGAGGCTATAGTTAAGGATTAACGCCCAGCAAATCCTCCCCGGCCAGGTTTTTAACCCATGACGAAGCGCTCGCGGAACGCTAGGTGAGTGTCTTACCACTACACCACGGAGACTAGTGCAAAGTAGTAGTGTAAAGTAAGTTAACTAAACATCATTTACCTGAGGGCCACCAATATTTGTGGCTTCGACAAGGACAGAAAGCTGGCAGCTTGTCAAAATCCCCCCCCCCCCACATATCAACATTGTTCCCCAATACAGTATTGTGGATGAATTATTTAAAAGAAATGAAGTAGTGAACATGTGTAAATATCAGTTATCTTGCACCACATGAAGTTAATATTATAGTATTAGATTCAAATATTAAAAGCACTCTCTGATTAGATACTGAAGTTTAAGATTATGCTCAATATTGCATGTGATTCTTTTCAACAATTTTAGAGCTTTAATGTATTTAAGCATTCTCATTCTTGGTTTCTTCAGGGG